CTACATATATACAGTAAAAAAAGCATGCACAATAAATTATTTAAGAATGCAAAGAAAGGAAAGGTGAGAAAGTAAGCTGCCAAGTTTGGGGCTCAAACTGCGATCAGCCATGTGGGAGTCCAACACCCTTAACCTGCATGCCACCTGCCAGCCCCCAGAGATTTTTCAAGAATCAAACTGCTAGCTATTTCAAGTTCATGTCTTACAAACCGATGAAGTGGCTGTAAGACAGGTCTTCGAAATATGGCTTCTATTTTCTTTTCTTACAATCTAATCTCTCGGTCTTTCCTGACACTCTAGCCTTGACCAATATTTATTTGTTTTTAAAAGTAGGTGATAGGTACAGGAAATGAACCTGAATTATGGGGGTTTGTTTTTGTTTTTTTTCAATGCCAGTGGGCATGTATACATGTGAGTGCATGAGAGAGAGAGAAAGTATGCCCCACAAGTGGGGCCATGTCATACTACCACCCTTCTTCCTTTTTATTTAAAGAGAGATTTTTGTTATAGGGTATGTGTGCTCGCCAGAGAAACAGAAAGCAAGAAATCACCCCCCGAGGGGGTGGACACCATAATCCCTTTTCCTCCATTCTCCTCAGGATATTGGGCACACATGCACGTACACGTGCCCAGGGTGAGTTTCAAGTCGCTGGGTCTGGGACTTGAACTGCAGTCAGCCATGTGGAAGTCCAACGATGTAACCCTTATGCCATCTGCTGGTCCCTCAGTTTTTTTTTAAAGACAGAATCTCAACTGTGCTCCATTCTCTTGCCTCAGCCTCCTAGCTGGGACTATGGTGCACACCACCGTGCCCAGCACTTCCAAACACATGTAGGCCCAGGCCAGCCTTTAGCTTGCAGTCCTCTTGCCTTAGTCTCCTAAGTAGCTGTGACTATAGGCACCTACCACCATATTGAGCCTTTAGGTTGATGTGGGAAAAACACTGGGCTGAACTGTGATGCTTCAGATGCTACATTTTATCATTTCTTTTTCTTTCTTTCTATTTTTACTTGTTATAGGGCACATGAGCTCCTGAGAGAAAGAAAGAGAGAAAAAACACTCCTCACAGGGGATGGCCATGCCACAGTCCCTTCTCAGGAATTTAGACACGCTCACATGTGCACACACCTGGTGAGTTTTCCAAGCCACTGGGTCCAGCCTTCAAACTGTGCAGTTGGCTATATGGATCTAGCCACTTTAACTACCATGCCACTGGCTAGCCCCATAATTTTTATCACCCCAACATGTGATTTTTTTCAAAAAAGAGCAAACAATATGCAAGTGGTAAATTTATCTATAATACATTACATCTCCCTCTAAGTCAAAAGGGTGACTTCCATCTTTGACCTCTTGCTAGACCTAAGATAAAAACATGTTCTGCAATAAAAGAGACGACTTTCCTATTAGCACTGTCAGTAAAGACCAATGAGAGAGGCCTAGCTGCAGTAGTATACACTGGCTGATGTTGCTAGTCAGCCGCAGGGGAAGCCTAAGTTCAATACTCAGTTCACTCTAAAAATTGGGTAGAGCAGAATGCACTGTTATCCCAGCTACTCAGAAGGCAGAAGAAGAATGATCACCACACACTGTGACTCTGTCTAAAATATTTTAAATAGAAACAAAAATACAAAAGGACCAAGGAGACAGAAAAAAAAAACTTAAAAAAAAAAAAGAGCCAGCAGGTGGTATGGTGCTTAGGTGGCTCTGAACTCCCACACGGTAGACTGGTATGAGTCCCGTAACTGGCATCCTGAAAACCCTACCTAGATGCATGTGTGTGCATGTCCAAAATCCTGAGAGAATGGAGAAGAGACTGTGGTGTGACCATTCCCTGGGAAGATGATTTCTCACTTCCCACTCACTGTTTCTCTGGAGAGCATGCCCTATGACAAAAACCTAAAAAACAATCACAAAAACAAAAAACAAACAAACAAACAAAAAACACAAAAAAATCCTATAGCAGCTTTTTAAAGATCTTGGCAACAAATTATGAAATACTGCATTTCTTTTTTTAAAAAGGAAACAAAACATTAAGATATCTTTTACCATACACAATACAGATAATATCAATATAAGATAATATCAATGTCCACCAGTGATCAGGATGGTAAACCAAAAGGTAAAACAGAAGAAACCAAATCAAACTGAAATAACTACTTTACCATTAGAACTTTTACCATCAATAGAAGGAAACACAGCATCACCATACTAACAACTTTAATACAGACTATCTCGTTAAATATATTAATATAGACTATTGTGTGGGGTTGGCAGGTGGTGTGGTGGTAAAAGGCAGCGGATTCCCACATGGCCGACCACAGTTTGAGTCTCAAACCTGGTAGCTTGCTTTCTTGCTTTCCCCTTTTCTCTCTCTCGGTCTCTCCTTGATGAAATTGAAAAGATAATAATAACAAATAGAATTAAATAAGTAAACTATTATTGGGGGGAAAAAAAGCTGTGTGTACTAAAGGGGAAAAACAAGCAGGTTATGCTGCAGCTTTGAGAATCAGCAGACTTCTAGGTATTAGTGCCAAAAAAAAAAGAAAAAGAAAAGTCAATGGAAACAGGCAATAGAAACAGTCAAGTCACACAATTTTTAAAAACTCAGATGGCAACTACAAAAGGCAAAGACACTAGTATAATTTTTCAAATGAACTTACCCTGAAATAAGTGAAGTTACTAGCTGCTGAATAAATGTCACTCAAAAGCAGTCTCTTGGCTTTTTCTTACACAACGGGCAACTTTCCTTTTAAATTCTCCATTTCTGTCTTCCCTCCATTCTTTCTGTAGATATAAAAGTAATATGAAATGATTTTCTGAAAACTCCTCCTTATAATCTGAAATAACATTTTAATTTCAAATATAACCCTTTGGTAAACTGAACAAGATAAAATGTTGAAAAGTTGACAATGTAGAAAATTAGAAAAACATGCTTTTACAAGGCACTATGTAGAGAGAGAGGCAAAAATCTCCTACACAAATTACCTTTACAGGAAAAATTCTGTCTTTAAATTTTCTTTTATAGAAAGAAAAAAGTGTTCTTGGTATTTACAGAACCAGTCAAGGTAGTGCATGCTAGGAGACACTGCCGCATGGCAAGTTAAGGCCACATGGGAGGTCTGGTTTGCCCACCCTATAAAGACTGGAACACAATTTTTGCCTTCAAAGCAAGACTCATCAAAAACCAATCATTACATAGACTGTGAAGAAATAATGTTGACATATACAGAGAGGTTACTATGGAGCTAAGGAAGACAAAAATTAATAGGCCAGAGGGTCAGGAGAGTTTTAAAATATTAGTACAACTGGAAAAGAATGTTTTAAACATTTAGAGGGACAACTGTGGAAACATAAATATAAACTAGGTAACTGAACATATACAGAAATTATATTTGATTGGGTATAAAAAATATTATGGTTATGTAGATAAATGCCTTATTTTTTTAGAGTTGCTTGCTTAAACATTAATGTGCAAATGCCTTTTTTTTTTTTGAGACGTTTTTGCTATAAGGTGCATGCGCTCGCCAGTATCCACTTTAACTACCATGCCACTGGCTAGCCCCATAATTTTTATCACCCCAACATGTGATTTTTTTCAAAAAAGAGCAAACAATATGCAAGTGGTAAATTTATCTATAATACATTACATCTCCCTCTAAGTCAAAAGGGTGACTTCCATCTTTGACCTCTTGCTAGACCTAAGATAAAAACATGTTCTGCAATAAAAGAGACGACTTTCCTATTAGCACTGTCAGTAAAGACCAATGAGAGAGGCCTAGCTGCAGTAGTATACACTGGCTGATGTTGCTAGTCAGCCGCAGGGGAAGCCTAAGTTCAATACTCAGTTCACTCTAAAAATTGGGTAGAGCAGAATGCACTGTTATCCCAGCTACTCAGAAGGCAGAAGAAGAATGATCACCACACACTGTGACTCTGTCTAAAATATTTTAAATAGAAACAAAAATACAAAAGGACCAAGGAGACAGAAAAAAAAAACTTAAAAAAAAAAAAGAGCCAGCAGGTGGTATGGTGCTTAGGTGGCTCTGAACTCCCACACGGTAGACTGGTATGAGTCCCGTAACTGGCATCCTGAAAACCCTACCTAGATGCATGTGTGTGCATGTCCAAAATCCTGAGAGAATGGAGAAGAGACTGTGGTGTGACCATTCCCTGGGAAGATGATTTCTCACTTCCCACTCACTGTTTCTCTGGAGAGCATGCCCTATGACAAAAACCTAAAAAACAATCACAAAAACAAAAAACAAACAAACAAACAAAAAACACAAAAAAATCCTATAGCAGCTTTTTAAAGATCTTGGCAACAAATTATGAAATACTGCATTTCTTTTTTTAAAAAGGAAACAAAACATTAAGATATCTTTTACCATACACAATACAGATAATATCAATATAAGATAATATCAATGTCCACCAGTGATCAGGATGGTAAACCAAAAGGTAAAACAGAAGAAACCAAATCAAACTGAAATAACTACTTTACCATTAGAACTTTTACCATCAATAGAAGGAAACACAGCATCACCATACTAACAACTTTAATACAGACTATCTCGTTAAATATATTAATATAGACTATTGTGTGGGGTTGGCAGGTGGTGTGGTGGTAAAAGGCAGCGGATTCCCACATGGCCGACCACAGTTTGAGTCTCAAACCTGGTAGCTTGCTTTCTTGCTTTCCCCTTTTCTCTCTCTCGGTCTCTCCTTGATGAAATTGAAAAGATAATAATAACAAATAGAATTAAATAAGTAAATTATTATTGGGGGGAAAAAAAGCTGTGTGTACTAAAGGGGAAAAACAAGCAGGTTATGCTGCAGCTTTGAGAATCAGCAGACTTCTAGGTATTAGTGCCAAAAAAAAAAAGAAAAAGAAAAGTCAATGGAAACAGGCAATAGAAACAGTCAAGTCACACAATTTTTAAAAACTCAGATGGCAACTACAAAAGGCAAAGACACTAGTATAATTTTTCAAATGAACTTACCCTGAAATAAGTGAAGTTACTAGCTGCTGAATAAATGTCACTCAAAAGCAGTCTCTTGGCTTTTTCTTACACAACGGGCAACTTTCCTTTTAAATTCTCCATTTCTGTCTTCCCTCCATTCTTTCTGTAGATATAAAAGTAATATGAAATGATTTTCTGAAAACTCCTCCTTATAATCTGAAATAACATTTTAATTTCAAATATAACCCTTTGGTAAACTGAACAAGATAAAATGTTGAAAAGTTGACAATGTAGAAAATTAGAAAAACATGCTTTTACAAGGCACTATGTAGAGAGAGAGGCAAAAATCTCCTACACAAATTACCTTTACAGGAAAAATTCTGTCTTTAAATTTTCTTTTATAGAAAGAAAAAAGTGTTCTTGGTATTTACAGAACCAGTCAAGGTAGTGCATGCTAGGAGACACTGCCGCATGGCAAGTTAAGGCCACATGGGAGGTCTGGTTTGCCCACCCTATAAAGACTGGAACACAATTTTTGCCTTCAAAGCAAGACTCATCAAAAACCAATCATTACATAGACTGTGAAGAAATAATGTTGACATATACAGAGAGGTTACTATGGAGCTAAGGAAGACAAAAATTAATAGGCCAGAGGGTCAGGAGAGTTTTAAAATATTAGTACAACTGGAAAAGAATGTTTTAAACATTTAGAGGGACAACTGTGGAAACATAAACTAGGTAACTGAACATATACAGAAATTATATTTGATTGGGTATAAAAAATATTATGGTTATGTAGATAAATGCCTTATTTTTTTAGAGTTGCTTGCTTAAACATTAATGTGCAAATGCCTTTTTTTTTTTTGAGACGTTTTTGCTATAAGGTGCATGCGCTCGCCAGAAAAACAGAGACAGAAACCAAGAAATTACCCCCAGGGGAGATGGCCACACCACAATCCCTTCACCTCCATTCTCCTCTAGGGATCTTGGGAACGCACGCACATGCGCCCGGCGTGAGTTTAAACCACCAGGTCTGGGACTGGAACCACGGTTAGCTACATGGGAGTCCGGTGACATAGCCATAACGCCAACTGCTGGTCCTGTAAATGCTTTAATACCTGTAATTACCTCAGCTTATTTAACTAAATGTAAGAAAAGGGCATGTACAAAGGGGGAAGGAAATCGCAGAAAATGATCACGTAAAACTGATTAAGACTGAGTAGGGAGGGACCAGTAGATGGTGTAATGGCTATGTCGCTGGACTCCCACATAATCGACTGTGGTTTGAGTTGTGGACCGGATGGCTTAAACTCACGCCAGGCGAGTATGCGTGTACGTCCAAGATCCCAAGAGGAGAATGAAGAAGAAGGGATTGCAGCATGGTGATTTCTCGCTCTTTGTCTCTTTCTGGTGAGCACACACACCCTATAATAAAAACCTCTCAAAACAAACAAACAAACAAACAAACAAAAACCAACCCCAAAAGGTTATAAAACCTCCATAACTGGTGAACCCAAGTGAAGAGGAATCTAAGAGAAGAGTGAAGGGGTATTAATTTAAATAATAAAACTTTTCTATAGATGTGAATGTTTTAAAAAAGTTTAGGATAATAACATGGACTGTAATAGGGACTGGACAATAATTTTTTAAAAATATGAAAATAGTATTAGATCGTCGGAAAAGTCATGATGCATTTTTCCAACAATCTAACCGTTACAAATGATAGTACCCTTACTTTTAAAAAAATAATTTATTTAATTTTATTTATTATTATTATTTTTAAAATTTTGCTATACACAGGCACTCACCAGACAGAGATAAAACAAGTCACCAGATCTACATACTGGTCCCAGAGCCCTTATTTATAAAAGATGTAGGCTCAGTATTTTTTTTTAATTATTTAACTTTATTTATTTCACTGTTTGTTTATTTATTTAAA